CCCTTCTTTGGACCCTCCACACTCGTTTTGGGCTGTGCATCCCCAGATCACTGATATCAAGTGATCCTTGATATGCCTTTGAATGTTCAGGATAAATCCCAGCTGGATCTTGTGCCAAGCTCTCCAGGGAATGTTGGTTCCAGGCACTGGGAAGGGCTGTGAGTCTGGGCTCAGGGTCTGGGCTTGGGATGGTGCATGTCTGGAAATGGAAATGGTTCCAAAATATTTGTTTGCCAGAGCAGATAGGCCATGAAAGGAAAAGGGAAACAGGCAAAAAAACTCACAGCAATGGTTTTCTTTGGAAGCTGAAGGACCAAGGGAAGAGATCTCAGGAGGAGGAGGAACCAACAGAAGAAATGAGCAGCAGCTCAGGCACAGGCAGGACACATCCCTGTGCTCTGGAGGAGGCTGCAGGTGGGAATGGGACACTGCAGGTGGGAATGGGGCACTGCAGGTGGGAATGGGGCACTGGGGGTGGGAATGGGGCACTGCAGGTGGGAATGGGGCACTGCAGGTGGGAATGGGGCACTGGAGGACCATTCCAGGGCAGCTGCATCATTATCAGCCCTGCAGAATGAACAGCCACTGGAGCTGGATCCTACTCACAGTCCCAATAATATTCCAAAGCTGACCCTTTCCTGGCAAGGGCTCCAATATTATCCTTGCCTAAGGATGAAGAGATCCCAGACAATTCCTCCTGTGTGGCACATGGAAATAGGCTCCCATTCCAAATCAGGCCTATTGCTTTGTAAATAAACTGACGTGGGATGGAAGGAAGAAGGAGAAGCCTCTCCTCCCATGATCTGTTTTGTGGGATAGGAGCAGCTGAATGCAGGGCTCCACACCTTTGTAAAGAAGGAAGAGAAGATGGGAAACTGGGAGCTGGAGCAGGAGCTGGTGGTGAGAGGGGACAGAAAGGGAAGGAATGTGCAGGAAGGAGAAATCCAAGGAGAAATCCCTGTGCAGGAGCACACGGATGAGGCTTTTCCAGCCTCTTGAACCACGGTCCCATGGGAGATCTCCCACCTGGGGCTGCTCCAGGCTCCCCCCACCAAAGGGAATCTCAACCAAAAACCTGTGAGCGAAAAGCTCCACCATGCATACCACCCTGGAATGGGGCTTTTCCTACCACCACAGCCCCCTTTTCCCCCCAAACTTAACTTATTTCTCCTTATAGAATTAAATACTTATAGGATCATATTTTTATTTCTCTTTCTCCCTCATGGCATTCCCTCTGCTCACCATGGTTTACCAGCAGGGAAAGAGAGAGAAATGCTCATAGCTAAATCTCCCCCGTTTAAAAAGTGATTATTTTTCATTTTTTATGCCCAGTTTGTTTGTTTTTTTAAGGTTTTGGTGAGAAACCACCTCCTCCCTCCCATCAATCGTTGCTTTCAACAGCTCTTCACGGGTGGCTGCGTCTCTTTTAAATTCATTTCCTGCTAAAAAGAATAAACGGGCAACTGTTTAATGCTGTCGATTTAGCTTATTTAATAGAAACTGAAACCTGAATAGGGCTCAGTTGTAAGATAATCACTGCAGAACTCACCCAGCGAGGGAAAGCACCAAATTAAGTCATTATTTCAAAATGCAGAATATTATTATCAAGCTGCTCCTCCTTCCCCAACACGGGGCACAGGCTGGAGGAGGAGATGCTCATTTCAAAAAGGCAGCAGGGAGAGTTGGAGCCACTTAGAGTAGGCAGGGATTTAACTGGGAAATCTGCTTGGAAACCACTTTCATGTGGTGAACTTAACAGGCTTTAAAACGAGTTTTACCGTGACGCTGGAGTACTGCAACCTCCTGGAAGACAAGTGGATTTTGACTCCTTTTCTTGGGTTGGAAATGCAAGGTGTGGCTGGGGCTGTGTGTTCTGCCCCCATCTGTCAGAAGTGGGGCAGTTATCTCTGTTCACTGGGCAGTTTTCGTTATCTCTTCCAACCAATTTTCCCTCCAGATCTCTGCTGTTCATGGGCCATTAATTATTAATTACCTTCTGTCCATGGCCAGTGAGTGTCCCTGCAGGGCTGATCCAATCCCAGCATGCCATGGGGAGAGGCTCCGCCCAGGGGAGGAGCCAAACATTCCTACCTGGATATAATCTGAGGTTTCAAACATTCCTACCTGGGTACAATCTGAGATTTCAAACATTCCTACCTGGATACAATCTGAGATTTCAAACATTCCTACCTGGGTACAATCTGAGGTTTCAAGCATTCCTACCTGGGTACAATCTGAGATGTCAAACATTCCTACCTGGGTACAATCTGAGGTTTGGGACACCCAAGCAGCCTTTGCCCCCTGCATTCCCAGAGGAGCCCAGGCCCATGTGCAGCAGCCCTGGAGCTGCAGAGGAAAATTCCCCCCTTGTTCAGGATCCCTGCTGCAGCAGAGCCACAGCTGGCACTGCAGGAGGGCTGAGCCCCCATGGATGGGGTTGGGACACCCCTGACACACAGAGGGTGAGGATGAATTCTGACCCTCTCAGTGGTTTTTTTTTGTTTGTTTGTACTATTGCATTTGTATTTTAATTTTCCTAATAAAAGAAAATGTTATTCCTATTCGCCTATCTTTGTCTGAGAGCCCCTTAATTTCAAAATCATAGCAATTAGGAGGGAGGGCGTTTCCATTCTCAATTTCACAGGATGCTCCTGCCCTCCTTAGCAGACACCTGTCTGTTCAAACCAAGACACTCTTTGAGATGCAAAACAAATGGGAACCGAGCCTCATTTTCCCCTCGGAGGTTTCCAGCGCTGCCCAGGGCTTGCCTTGGTCCGAGCTGCAGTTTCAGGCTTTGAGGGAAGCAGCAGCAGCGGCTCCCACATGAAAGCCCGGGTGAGACAAGACAAAGCCTGCGTGCCTCTGCCGGCAGAAGCCGCCCCTCTGACGAAGCTTTTCGGGCACCAGGGCTTTGTTTTAATCCCGTATGTAAATCCGAGCCGGGGCGTGGCAGCTGCCAGCGCTGTAAATGCTAATGAGCCGCAGCAAAGGGCCGGTAATCCCCCAGGAATGCGGCACTCAGCCCAAACCCTGCTAATTGCCACATTCCAGGTGGATTAGAAGCCGGGAAATTCATTTTACCTGTTCCTGACAATATCTGCAGCTCAGCAACAGGTGCCGTGGAGGTAACTGAGACATGCTTCAATCACACAGTGCTTGGACTCCCCAGAGTCAAAGTTTTGCCTTCTCTGGCTTTTCCGAACTTTTGAGTATTATTTTCTAGGCCATTAAGTATTTCCTGCTTTCTGAAACACCAAAGAAAGCTGCCAAACAGGGAAGAAACATGGAAAGAGAAGAGGTTTAGAAGGGATATCAGGAAGAAATCCTTTCCTGTGAGGGTGGGCAGGCCCTGGCACTGGTGCCCAGAGCAGCTGTGGCTGCCCATGGATCCCTGGAAATGTCCCAGGCCAGGCTGGATGGGGCTTGGAGCACCAGGGACAGTGGGAGGTGTCAACTCCTTCCCTCAGAAATTTACTGGGATTTGGGAATTCTCTGCTGATGACCACAAGCCTTCCTCCCTTTACCACCTTTGACCTTCATCTTCCCCACTGGATCACCACAAAGTCCTGCTCCTTCCCTGCTGGGAAGGCAGATGTGAAAGGATCAACCCAAAGCACCCAGAATTACATATTCTCCTCATCCTTAAGCACAGAAAACACATTTATTCATAAACATCAAACATTATGAGCACATGTTCAAAAAAACAGCAACAAAACAGACAAAAACAGTTGGGAAAACCATCTGGGGCAGAATTCCACTGTGGGAAATTTCCATCTCAGCAGTAAATGGTTGGCAAATGAAAAGTGGTTGACAAATTGCAGTGAGGGTGGCTAAGAGCATCCTCAAAGATGCACAGGTTTGACTCAGGACCTGCAGCCACTGAGGGAATGAGGAAATCTCAGCAATGAGGGAATCTCATCAATTTGCCTTAAATTAGCAGTGCTTAATTTACAAAATTAAGGAGAATTATAAGCCTCTCATTTTTTTTACAATATATACCCCTTGGAGAGCTCCAAATTACACTTAATTACCACCTGCAAATGTATTTTGTATTATTAAAGCCTCAAAATTCTGTAATAGAACACATCAGAGCAAACTCAGTGCCTAATGCCTGTGAATTTTGAGTTCAAATCCAAAGATCCACCAGAAAAAGTGTGTGATAGAGCATCTTGAAATATTTTTGCCCTGTGGAACATTTTCCTGGTACAAGGAATGAACACAGCAAACTTCAGAAATCACAGAACCACATGGAATAAAATGTCAAAGGATCGTGAGTCAAATGAGGTTTATCTTGAATACCCCCAACCCTCTTTGTTTGCTGATTTGGTCAAGTCAAGAAAAATGGAGATTTTTTAAATATGAATTCAGGTGGTTTTGGGGGTTTTTTTGCCTGCTTACCTTTATCTAATTCACTTGAGATGTTCCATGAGGACGTGGGCATGAAATCAGCAACAAGCGAGGAATTCACTCCTGGAAGGGGAAAAGAGAAAAACCATGAGATGCTGTTAATATATGGATCCTATATCATCAGGAATCAAGTTGCTGTCATAGGAATAAAATGATTTGATGCTGTGTGCTGGCAGGCTGAGCCATCTGGGCAGCAGGAGCAGCCAAGGGGGAGAAGGCAGCGGGCCAGGGCTGGGGTTCGTTTGGCAATGCTGATCACTGTGAGGCCTCGTGCTAATTAAACAGCTGATGCCTTGTGCAGGCTGGGCAGAGTCCCAGAATAAAGCAGGGATTGATTCACAGGATCTCCTCCATGGATGCACCTTGGGCAGCCCCAGAGCCCAGCCAGGGCTGCACCCAAGATGAACCAAAATGGCCCCAAAATGCACGGGGGGTCCCGGGCTCTGTCCCTGGGATCAGTTCTGCTCCATTTGCACCTTGCAGTTCATTGTCCCATCCCAGCTTTAGCCCAGGCAGTCCCACCCTGCTTGTTTTTCTCTCTGCAGCCCACGGGGTTTGTGCTCTGGGCTGAGATTTGGGTCATTTGTCCTTGGTGCCCAGCTGGAGCAGGAATTGTTTTGTCTCCTGCTCTGTGCACAGAGCTCAGCATCCCTGATGTGAGCCCAGCCCCACACACTAAAGCAGCTCAGAGTGTGAAAATATAAAAGCTAAAACCTGAGGCATCACAGCCAGTCTTTGGGATGGCCTTGACCCACCCTAAAATCTCCCCAGAGGCTTTAGAGAGGCAGAACAACTCTGCAGTGGTAGAGCCGAGGGAAACACGGTGCTGAGAGACTGCTGAAGGTGTTATCTGTTCATATTTACAATTATCTGAATCCTACAAACCCAAGTGCATGAGAAGGGATGTGGTTTATACACTGAAGTTAACAGGGCTGGAAGAACTGATCTGAACCTGAGCTCCAGCAGCACCTGCTCCTTGCTGGGACAATTCTTTACTCTTCAGGAAAAAGCTGAATGGAGCTTTAAGTCGGTACTTTTATTTGAAACAGCAAATCAGAGGGAGGGTAGTGTTAAGCCAGCATGTCCTGCCTAGCTCTAGGTCAAGCAGAACATTCCCTGTATCCAAACTCATCCAGGATTTAGTGCCTCCCTCTGCCAGCAGATCCACCTGCAGCCTGTGAGGCTTTTGGGGCTCATCCCCCAGGGAGAACCAGATTCGATATGAGCTTTGTGGGAGGGTGGGAAGAAGGGGTGTGCACACACATTCCAGGGCATGGGAAAGCAGAGCACCCCCTGATTCCCTGTGCCAGCCAGCCCTGAGGAACCTGACCTGCAGAAGGAGGAGAGCGATGTTGGACAGCTGAGTGTGGGACAGGGAAGGTGAAACCAAACCAAGCAGGGCTCAGGGTGCCAGCCATGGAAAATGCACTGAAAATGAGCATCCCACAGCCCAGCCCTGCACCATGGAGGGACCCCAGTGCTGGGTGGGCTCAGAGGTGCCCAGGGAAGGCAGAGCTGGGATCTGAGTTAGAGAACAGGAATGCTCTGAAGTGCATCCATTTTGCTTTGACACCATCCTTTAGCTTATTCCCAGATTTCCCTCATAAAACATGGCATGCATGGATATGCAAAGATGTCCTGCCTTTATTTGATGTGCTGGCAACTCTTCTGTTTCATTAAAAAATCACAAGGAATTGTAAACACCAGGTCACACAAACCCACAGCCCGTGCCCTCTTTATAAATAAAGCCTGGCTGAAAAGCCCACCTGGCAGCTCTGTTATCCAGTGCTCTGCCAAGTATTCCCAGTGTAAACACGGGCTTTGGAGGCATCAGAACTCCCTCAGGAGCAGAGCCCAGGGCAGAACCACTGCTGGGGACAGCCCTGGGCAGTGCCACAGCCAGCGGTGGCACCCGGTGGCACCAGCTGAGGTTTTGGCCCACTGGGCCCATCCCTTCTCATTCTCTGCTTTCAATTAACAGCTGAGCCTGTCTAACCCACATCCCCCTTCTCTAACTCATATTTTGGGACCACTTGGCTTAAACTTGCAGGGTTTAGGGACAAAAAAAGCAGATCCAGTGGCAGTATTGCTGTCATGGGTGCAGGTGACAAATAACCAGTGAGCAGACACTGCCCAGGAGCTGGTGGGTGTCAGGCTGTGCCAGAGGTTGGGATGCTTGGTTCCCTGTCCATCCTCACCCTTCCAAGCTCTCCTGGCCAAGAAATGGGACAGAAACCCCTCCAAGAGTGGGATCTGAGGGGGCATCACTGGGACCAAAGTGGTTCCTCCCTGTGTTCACAGCTCAAACCCACAGACAATGCTTTCCTCAGTCACACACTCACGTCTGGCACTCCACAATGGGTTTTCTGTGGCTACTTTGGCTCACCTGGAAATATTTTAGTGTGAAGAGCCCACAAAACAACTGAATTCTGCCAACAGGTACCACACACTAACCAAAATCAACAGAAAGTACTACCAACACTGTGACCACATGCAGCATTTGTTATTTAAAACTCCAGAACTGACAACACAATGACCACATGCAGTATTTTGGTTTTTTAAAACTCCAGAGAGTTCATATTGATGTTTTCTTAACCAGGCTTTGAAAACATGAATCTCATAGAGCAGACACCCCTCAGCTCAGCTAAACCACATTAGATGACCAAAGTTTCCTATTTGTGGCAGTTCTGCAGGCTGGTGACTGCTGATTTTCTGACATTCCTCAATTTAAGTTCCAAAGAAGAGCAAAGCATCACTGTGCCCATAATAACCACTTTATCTGATTGAAGGGGACTCACAGAGCAGCTCCACCATGTAGGAACAAACCACCCCAATGCAGGAGCAGAAAACATCCCAGAAAAAGGCGCAGGAGACATCCCTGGATTCCATTTCTGCCTGTGATGACTCAGGATTGCTGGGCATGAAAGTGAGAGTGGTGCCACCTCCCCTTGGACAGGCTCTGGGATAATTCCAGGTGAGTTCCAGCCAGCCCTGGGAAAAGATGAGTCAGGGATTTGCTCACAGCATTTGGGGCACTGGCACAGACTTGCCCATTGCCTGCCACCTCCTCAAAATAGGGGAAAAATCTGGCAAATATCAGATCACAGAACCACGGGGTTACTGAGGTTGGAAAAGCCCTCCAAGGCCATCAGTTCCAAGTGCCCACCTTGTCACCAACCCTGACATCCTTGTTCCTTGGACACCTCCAGGGATGGGGACTCCAGCCCCTTCCAAGGCCTGACCACCCTTTCCATGAGGAAATTCCTCCTGGTGTCCAACCTGGCCTTTCCCTGGCACAGCCTGAGGCTGCTTCTTCTTGTCCCTTCAATATTGCAACTGAATTTTGAGTTCAGTTAATTAAAAACTCATTCTTCCTTCTTAAAACTTCCCCAATGCCCAGTTTCACCTTGAACAATGAGATTTGTTTGGAAGAAGAGTCAGCCTGAGAAATGTGATCAGCAAACAGAGCCATTATCCTGTTAAGGTTTTATTTATCCGTGGAATAATTCCAGATGAATGATGACTCTTCTTAACACTGGCAAGATAATTATCTGTTCCAACCCATGAAGAAACATTGGGTTTAAGTTAATGAGAAGTCACAACAGGCTGTGAAAAGCCAAGTAAAGTGTATTCAAACTCACTTCCCACAGAGGAGTTGGCCAAGATGCGATTTTATCACCCTATTGCACAAGTGTGGAGTGAATCTCACACGTCAGGCCTTGTAAAGCCTTTGTGATTAAATAAACTTCAGTTAGGTTTACAAAAAGCTGCACCTGCATTTGTAGGATGAGACAATAACTCAAAGAAAGATAACTGAGATGACATCAAGCCCAGGAATAATTGGAAATTTGAATGGGGAATAAATCTGTTGTGCAGAAAAAAGGAGAGAGCAAAGTAAGTCTGGGAATGAGGATATCCTGCTTGTCAGGCTCCAGGGCACCAGGAATGATGGATGCTAGGAGGAGGAATGGACACATCCAGTGGGAGCAGGGCCTGGATGGGCCTTCTTGTGGGGCAGAGATGGAAATCCCACTCTTTTCAAGGGGAAAAATAATTTTCAAGGTGCAAAATAAGTCCTGTTAAAACATGCAAACAAAACATTCAAAGTGCATCCTTCACAGGTATACCCCAATGCTATACCAAATGGATACAATTATTTCTATAATCAGGAGCAATTTCTTTGTTCTGATAGAAAAATGAATGTGATTGCAATTCAGGTCTCACTGCAGGATATCAAACCAGCAAAAAGAACAAGGTGGTGTTTGGAGAAGGAGTTAGAAGTCAGAATAATAAGATAAACTGTTCAGAATTCATGTTTAACATAAGAAAGTTTTCCATTTGCAAGCCTCTCAGCAGAAAGCCTTCCCCAAGTGAGCTTTGTTATCCAGTGGAGGAATTTGCCTAAGGAAGTGATAAAAGCCCAATTTCCCGAGACATTAAAAACAAGATTGGGCAAGCCAGGGCTGCAGACACACACGGGGAGTTATCCCACGCTGGCAGCAGGGTCAGGGCAGGACAGCTTCACACGGGATGGAGGCACAGCTCTTTTTGGCCAAATCACCCATGAACGTTTCATAGCTGCACATGTACCAGAAACATCAACATCCCCCTTAAACAGGGAATAAAATCTCCAGCAAACAAACTCCCTCGGCTCTCCCACTTGGATAGAACTCCAGGGAAACAGGAATGGCAGATAAAGCTATACAGACTTAGAGAAAAGCTAATTATCCTAAGTGCTCGGTATTTTTTTGCTTTTCTGCACATTCCAGACCAACACTTCATCTCTGCCTCTGTCTGGTTCCTACCTGACTGATCCCTTCCAGGATCTTCCCACAGATCTGCCTCCTGGCTGTTTTTCCCCTCAGTTCTATCTCCCTCATCTTCCTTTGCTGCCTTTTGCATTCTCTGCTCCCCTGATCCTTTGTGAGCTCCCCACAGTTTCCATCTGATCTCCCAGATATTCCAGATATTTTGCAATCAGCCACTCTCCAGCATTTTCACAGCCCACCCCGGAGCTGCTGAAGGAAATTTGGACAGACTGCAATGGGTACAACCCATT